GTCACTTATTTATCACTTAATTTATCATCATCCTATTTATTTTATCCTGTTCGACTTTTCCTAATTAGTTATACTCAAAGAGACATTCCGTGGATCGATCCTCATGCTACAACTCCACTACACATCTACAATTCAACCACTATACCGTTGACTAAGTATGTCTTGCTCTCATTTTGGTCTACACAGCCGGCGATAATAACTTTGTTTAGCATCAGATCGCGTCTCGTCATTAACAGAGATGAAACTAAAATATCTTAGGGATGATACAGTTTGCTGTATTTATTTGAAGCCCCTATGTAAACATGGGCAGGTCCTTATACAGTGAGAATCCATGTCATTTAATAGGCCTCGGTTTTCCTGTATACAAATATTTTTCATATTTAAATCCTAATATTTCATCACGTATTATTTATTGCAATTTCACTATTTTACTATTACTATTCTCTCTAGCCGTAATTCTACCGTTTATGAAATTTTAAGTCTACTATCTTGTTTTTTCTCTAATCCATCTTGCCCTGCAGCTACCGGCTTCTTTTACGCCTTGGTTGGGCAACAAACGGATTTTACGTCCCTCCCGGATTGCCTCCTTGTCCTCCAGGTTCCACTCCTAAGCAAGTCCCTAGAGCTGTCACATCTGAAGCCATGCCGCGCTGTCTGCAGGTTTCTGTAGCCGGTCGTCCAGTACCGTTACCTGATGCCATCTTTCACGGTGGTCAGGCGCAAAAGCTTGGAAAGCGTCTCCTTTACCCCATCGATGTCACTAATCAAGTAAGTTTCCAATTTTAATTAGTGTGAGCCAATATAAATTTAACTTATATAAAAATTATTTTCATTATTTCGTTTAAGCTGACGAAGGACTGGTAGTGGAATTTTCCCACAATGATATAAGTAGAGCTGGTGTTTTACATTGAATTTTACATAGCCTTACATTCCAAAATGATCTTATCATTCAGGGTAGACTGTAGCTTCGACCTCGCATAGGTCTTATCAACCCCTCAAGCGGGAGTCGAATCATGACAGGGCAGTGTGCATGCTCGACACGTTAACCACTACGCCACATTGCCACGACTGCCCTTGGGTCAGAAGGTAGATGTGAATTTCAAGGAAGGCCAGTAATTCTTCCGTACCGCTTTCGCTGATGGGATTATCGATGAAAAAAAGTTATATTTGCTATAGCAATCGATGATAATTTTTTTCTAAAACCTACACACGAAAAAAAATTAACTTAACTTTCCTTTCATAACGAGTTAATATTTCTGATTATTCTTCATATATTTACATTTTTAATTATTCTGACATGTAGTATTTTATATGTGCTTGTTTGTTGAGCATATGGGTAGTCATTAGTTATCCATTCTTCATTCTACACCAAACTTAGCCTATCGCTACACTTTTAGTTGTTCCCCTAATGTTGATTGACCTTGAGTCCTTAAACAGAATGTATTATTTTATTTATTGAGCTTACTTCTATTTCGAGTGAAAGTGTTTGATGATAAGATTAGAAGGTCGACCTCACCAGAAGACAACGGCAGAATCCTCTTGACCTGCTGTTGATTGGCTTTACTAGAACATCCTTGTTGTAGCTGCTTCCGAGGAAATCTACTTTAATTCTGGTAAAAACTTGCTAAGCTTTTGCTGATTGCCAGACATCCTTAGAACAGGGCATCATCTCTACAACCTTATTCAAGGTAACGAGCCTTTACTCTGGATGATGGCGTTCGAATTTCCTAACGTGTGCCAATTGCTCCATATGTATCTTCGCACCTTACGTTGCGTCTACATCATAGTCGGACATCCGCGTAATATGGACCACGCTCATCCGGTTTCCTAACCTAAACAAAGACTTCTAATGATTATCGTTGAGTCTACTTTGATGCACCTTTATTTGCTCTATAGCGTAAAGGGCTTCGCCCGGATCGAATCAACTTAGTGTTGTGTCTTTATATAGTATCTCGTCTGTACTAATACTGTATAGTTATATACACTTAGCATATTCAGCCTCTACGCAACACTCTTTTGTCTTTTAATTTTATTAGACGTGTAATTTGTTTGAATAGCAAATAGTGCTACTTATTGCTCAGTCTGCCTATGTGCGAGTGGCACATTTTGAATGCTAAACTAAATCATTACATTGGCTTTTACCTTTGCTCCAATTAACTTATTGAATATATTTACCACTCGGATTATTTTGCATCAAAATTGTCTTGTGATCACATTACAATAAGGTTTTTAAAAGTCGTTCTCTGTGGGTTTTGCGTTAATCACAACTTTTCACATTTTTTGGCTTCCAGATAATATTCCTTTTTAGTAAATAGTCCGTCCTAAATTTATCTGA